ATATAAAGTATTTCTATGGTGAGTTAGATTAAGAAATTAGGGGTGATTCTTGTTGTCATTAAAACTATATAAAATGAAGTTATGGCCTAAGCTGATTCAAAAGTACCGTTGAGTTAAAAAAAAAAATAAGGAGAACTAAATATTTTAAAATGTGAAGAAACATCAATTTAGACACTAAAAAAAAGTTTAACCGGTTACCATTACAGAGATTTTCACCATTACATTTAATTAAACAATAATTTATAAGGCCTGTTAACTGAAAAGAAACCCCTTCATCCTTCTCATTTTCTTCATTTACATTTTTTTGTTTTAACATTTAGCCTCATGGAAAGAAACATTTTCTATTTTATTTATATATATACATATAACATATTGTGTATTCACCTTGTGAAAAGTGCAGTTTCTCCCTTTATTGTTTGTGATTATTTATTTTTTTAGAAAAATCTGTAAATGAATAGAAAGAAAATAGATTGGTCTCCACAAAGATAACATTTTCCTCAACCAAATCTAAACAACAGCTATTGACTTATATATGAGGTGCAAAATAAAAATATGTTCTATAATATATACCAAATGGGTGTAATTTATACAATAGCTACTGGTTTTGACCTCACGTGGATTTGAAGCCAGCAGTGAAAGAGAAAATTGATGCTGCTGCCTTGGCTTTTTTTTTTTGTTCAAATGTACTGCATCACAACTTTGGCTGCTAAGAGCATATGAGATTGTGGTGAAATTCTTGGGTTGTGAATGAGACCACAGAGCAGCCACACAAAGTTCCTCGTCCCAAGTGCTCAACCTAACTCGCCCACTCGCATTGTCCCTAGACTTTCCTCAAGAATGTGGATTTCTATGGCCGACGGCAAGCCAGACAAAATTGCCAATTGCATTGTCACCTCTTGTGGTTTTTCTCCTCAACAATCTCTATTGGCAGCAGAGTTCAGGAGGAACCCTCTCAAAAAAAACACATCTGCTTTTAAAGATGCTCGAGTGGGAAACAGTGTTCAAGATGGTATCTCAAGAAGTAGTCAGTTTATGAGAAAACATAAATTTCAGCCTGAGTTGAAAATGCATTTTCCACCACCACCACAGTGGAAAGAAATAAACTCTGTTGTGTTTAGGTTTGAGTTAAAAACAGCAGCTATAACACCGCAGGACACTCCATCCCCTGTTTGCTTTTTTACAGTCCAAAAAACGAAGCCATGATGAAGGCAGCTTGCATCCTTCGCTACAGTGCAGCAAAACTAGTTCCCTCATTACCCTGCATTCAAACACGGGGCACTCTGATGCCACAAGAGGAAGTGGCTTTGGCAGAAAATGTCAAACCAGCGTTTAAGTGCAGGAATGAAGCGGCTCTGATGTGGATTGGATCAACTTGTTAAGTCAAATGAAAGGTCAAGATATTTTTCCACAGCACTGAGCAACCCACAGAGCAGCTATTTAAGCTGCTGTTAAATGGAGAGCGCCATGCTGGTTACCGTATGTAAGGAAGGCACACGTGTCGACAGAGGCAGGAAATTAAACCAATACACACAGAAAGATAAATAGTTACCTCTTGTTTTCACGCAGAAATTAAGACTACACTTCCCCACAGAGGTGTTCCTGTTCTTACAGACAAGGGAGAGCAATGTGAGAGTGACGTGTCAGGGTGATGCTCAGTTGTCCCCGGCTACTCCGCGCTGTCATGTCAGCAAAATGTCCATCTCGTGGAGGCCTTTAGCTACAGGTCTTTGTGTCACTGTCGACACATCTCACAGGGATTGGGTTCCACAGCTCGCTCACTCCTCTAAATGATCTGTTTGTTTGTCAGAGAGCCTCGCTACAGCAGGGAATTCACACATTGTTGATGGAGGACAGACACAAGCTCACCTGGACTCCCACAAAGTCTGACTTCATCAGCTGTTGCACCTCAAGTCCTCACTGGATCATCTTTTTGGAGAAAAACAAATGCGAGAATTACGTTATAATCTTGTTGAATTGTTTCCTCACATAGCTTATCATTCAGCCAATTGGCCCTTGCTCTTTACGAGCTGGCTGAGTGGTTCCATCTAAGCATCGAGCATTTCATACACGTAAAAAAGTTTTCATTTCTAATGCCAGCCAAAGGGAAAGTGCTTCCCATCGAGCTTGCACCGACCTTGAGGGACAGATCTGCTTTCAAACTCACTAACACCTTTTGACACAGTTCACTCGCCTGCATGCTGTTACAGAAATGTCTTTTGAGGTAGGGGAGAGGGGGCCCGAAGCTAAATACACTGGAGCAAACACCAGGGGAGGAGAGGTAACTATACTTCATGTGTAGATTTATCTCTGGGTGAACCTGTATCGGATGAATCTCTGTTTGAGTCTGTGTGCTCCACGGGACAACTCTCATCCCCTTCTTTCACAACACTACGGAGGTGAGATAGAGAGAAGGGTACACGTTCGCTGGGATTTAAACCCAAACCAGCTGGGTTACGAGAGGCCCCGGTGAGCGAGGAGACAGAGGGCCGGCTTTGTCAAAAAGAAAACGAAGGAGCGCACTCAACATCAGGATTTACTCAAGTTGAATCATCAACCAGTCATGGCTCTTACCTGACGATGGCTCAACTGTTCTTTGCACTTGAAGGCTTTCAAGACGCCGAACATTAGTTCTCTCAATAAAACGTTTTGTCTATCAAACAATCTTGTTTTATATTTATTTGAGAAACAGCAGCTAATTTAAAGTTGCATGAGGGGAACCTTTTGTCTTTTGATTTATGTATGTTTTTGACATATCACAAACACTTTTCAAGTCAAAGTCTAGATGAGGATGTAGTTGATGGCATTAACACACATGGGAACACTGGTATTCTTGTTTTAATTTACAATCTTAACCACATGTTTAAAACTGTGACTGCCATCTGGGAGAAAACATGTTTCCCTCTAACTGTTATTGGGAATGCAGTTTAATTGTACAACAATGTCATTTTAGATGAGAGCGTTGGGAAAGGCAACTGATTGTGGTTTCTACACAGGAAAATCTAATAAAATAACAATTCATTGTTTCATCCAACTAAGCAATTAAGCATTAAAAGGACTAATGAATTAAAGTTCTCGGATTAACCACTGGCGCAGATCAATCCATCATCTCATTTAGCCTCTATAATCGTATATTTGATAGTGTTGATGAGAGTGGAACTCTCGTGAGGTCTCATGTTGGGACTGATGATGTCCAGGAGGCCGCAGTGTGCTGCTGACACATTTAATGTGATATCAGCTTGGACCTTTGTTGAAAGGGGATTAATAGATGATGGACATCACAAAGTACAAGGAGCTTTATGTCCCAAGTTGCAAAACAAGGATCATATTGAGGAGAAATAATCATTATGGCACAAGAAAGAACTAACTAGAAAACTAAATACATCCACTTTACGATACCTTACAAGCTGACTTTAGTCCATTTGAATCTGAATTGATCCCCCTATCAAATTGAATTCATCCATCTGAACATTTTATAAAGTAGCTAGCTCCACATTAACTAACTATAGCAGTGTACATACTGGAAATGTGTCAATAAGTTGTAATTGTCACATTAATTAATTCAAGGTATAACTCCTTGTTCATGGCATTTTTTTTCAATAATTGTATGGGACTATTCAGCAAAATGTCTTTTGTTTCTTTATATATTTTAAGTTCATTTTGCTGATTAACATTGGTACTTTCAAGTGAAGTTTTGAATGACTTGTACTTATATACTTACGTATTTGTAGCCTACCTAAACTTGAGCAAAAGAAAATGAGTACTGACATAATTGACTTATTATCACCAGTAGGCTACTTATCAGGAAAGTGACCTGTAGTTACTCAAGCAGATATTATCCTGCAAATACTTTTTGCTGAGCACAACAATGGCAAATCAAATAGTTTTCTTAACAATTCACTCGGTTAAATATCTTTCAAGACAGTACAACATGTATTTGTAACCTGTTCTGAAGTCCAAGGAGGTGAAGTGAGATGATTTTGCATCACTGCTGTGAACATTTCACTAAACTTGTCAAACTGAATTAAATCCCACCTTCGACAGTTTCGGACTAGACGTGAAACAGTTAACTGTCAGCGCCTGCTTCCTCCCAGCAGCTCCATGCAGTGGACTATGAAATATTTGGAGGACAATTGGTTAAGTGGAGTTAACCGTTGCCTTTTCTCCCCGAGGTATCTTCCTTTTTGATCCTGCCGAGCCTGGCGCCTTGCAAAACACAACTTGTCTGGCTTATTAAATAGTATGACCTGCAGAAAGAAAACGCCTGTTGCTTCTCAACTGAGGCCATTGTGCAGCGAGAAGAGCTCATGACAGGCCTTAAATTGCTGTAATGCTGTGTGACCAACAGTCACCTAATCAATTTCGATCGTGGGTTTGCACCTTTTCTTTCTTGATTTGATTATCTGATAAATTGTTTAATCTTTTTTTTTTCAGTCTTTTTAATGTTTTACGTAGCTTGTTTGAATAGTAATTAGCCTATGTGTGATTTTATTTGATCTCTTAATGTTTTTATTTTTTCCTTCTCCTTTGATACAACTATCACTTTGATATTGACATGTGACTCTTTGGTTCCTGCTCAGCTTTACAGTAGTGGAATAATTCAAAGAATAGCAGCGATGGTGTGCCGGGCTAATGGATGTAAATGGTCAAGAGAGTCCTCCCCACTGGTTAATTGCGCTAAAATTGGTCTAAGCTACTTTGTGAGGGCCATCAATAGCCGCGCGCCGCATGGGGTCTGTATGATTAACTTCTCCTTCCTTTCAAAGGCCTCTTGATGTTCCCTTGGAAGGCAGTTAGCCAATCAAAGCCGCACTCCAAGACGTCACAAGGCCAAAGGGACTAGCTGATTGGTGGGAGTGGAAAGGGGGAACAGCCCCTGTCGTTTTATAGACGACTCCGTACAGCGCGTAAAAGCTACTGGGCACCGCTGTCAGCGCGGAGACGCATATTGGACACTGTACACTCGTCGACTCCATTTCTCTGAACGGGCCACACGGAGGTGCATGGCCCCATCCCCTTCTGTCACGATGAATCCTGTGCAGGGGTCGCCGTCCCAGGACGTCAAACAACTTCATCAGAAAGAGGAGACGGATACAGAGGGCGAGGACAACCAGCCCAAAGACATGACCACTGAGAAAGGATACAAACCTCAGCGGACCAGCCTCCCGTTTAGCGTAGAGTCGCTGATTTCCAAGAAGACCACCTGTCGGACTTCTTATCCCCCCTCAGACTTAGCTCAGGCCCTGCCGAAGCCCGTGGTTGGGCAAGGCGTGCAGTTCTCTCCAAGGACTCTTTACGCGGAAAGCAAGGTTTCCGCGAAGGGCTCACCGGGTGTTTCCAGCAATTCCAGTGAGGACAGCCCGCAGTTTTGTGAGAAAGAGCAGAGCACTTGGTACCAGACGTCCTCCTTTTCTACTCCGCCTCGTAAGTCCGTCCCTCTGCTGCTTTGAGAAATGCAAGGTTACTTTTCCCACAAACATCCATGTTATACAGTCAATAATAAAGGCTGCAGAGAAAAGGCTTAGACAACAGATACACAAAATGATTTGTTGCACCAGTCCTATTAGCTTTGCCCCACAGCTCTAAAGACTCTGCGTATATGTCTTTATTCTTTCTTGCATTCTGTGTTTTAAGAAATGCAGATACATGATGGTAGTGTTGCCACTGAGCATGTGAAGCAATTTGGTTTGTTGGGTTATTTTTGCAAGCATCTTTATATGTGATATATACCCACAAATGCAGGTGGTATATGCAAGCATACTAATAACTTCAAGATGCTTCAGCATTATAAAGAATGCCAGCACAACTGAACATCATCAACAATATATTTAATAGTAGCCTACTTATGGAAGTTTGTGTATCATAACTTAGTACTTTTTTTTAACATATGTAACATTAAGCTCTCTGTGGCTCTTTCCTGCTGTAACAATGCAAATGTCCCCTCTGTGGGACTAATAAAGGTATTCTGATTCTGATTCTGATTCTGATGGAAGTTTGTGTATTGTATCGTGTGTTTGCATTTGATATTGAATATTGCCTGTTCACTTGCTGTCTTTATCAACATACGCTTCAATGTAATCTCACCGCAGCGATTTCTTTGTCATTTTCCAACAGGGAGCACAAGTCCACCTCAGTGTCCTTTAAGGAAACACAAAAACAACAGGAAACCTCGCACTCCCTTCACTACCTCCCAGCTGCTGGCGCTGGAGCGCAAGTTTCGCCAGAAGCAGTACCTCTCCATCGCCGAGAGAGCCGAGTTCTCCAACTCTCTCAACCTGACGGAGACTCAGGTCAAAATTTGGTTTCAGAACAGGAGGGCCAAAGCCAAGAGACTGCAGGAGGCCGAGCTGGAAAAGTATAAACTGGCCTCCAAGCCCATGCTGCCCGCCTTCGCTCTGCCTCTCCCCCTCGGAGCGCACATGGGCTCTCCAACGTGGTGTCCGTCAAACGCCTTCGCGAGGCCCAGCATGCCGATCCCAGGACTGTTCGGCGGACCCGTCACTTATGGGATGTACTATTTATCTTAGTAGTACTGTCTGTTTATGTTTTAAAAAGTGAAAGTTTCTTCTTTCAATACACTTATGAACAAGGATGATGCGTTTTCTACACCTCGGACTATTTTTATAGGGGTTCAGAGAAATGTTCTAACCTCCAGAATTTAAAAAATATAATTTGGGTCACATTTTGCTATTTAATTGTGTGCGTAATTGGACTGAGTGAGTTTAGTTGTGCGCATTTTAAGGCCAGTTCTGTGGATTGTGGAGGCCTACATTACTGAGGCAGGACTCCAAAAGTAAATGTCAGGTTTTTAAACGACATGCCTTAAATATCTCTTTCCAGTCCACAGTAGTTTGTAAAAGTGTGTCCAGAAGCAAGGCTGCTGAGGCGGAGGTTTAAAAGCAAAAGAAAAGTACTTAAACAGAGTCAGTGCCTTAAGTGTATCACTTGAAGTATTACTTATCAATCAGGATTGACATTTCTGGTACAACTGCAGGTTCCCAGAGTTGCTGTTGAATGTTTGTATTTCCTTACAGCAGTCACCATTTCTACGTCTTTTTCAAAACATGGAGCAAAATTATATTTTAGAAAAACAATGTGTATTAGATATTTTTTTATTATCACAACGTGGCCTATATGGGAGTGATGATAGATTTTCTTCGAGGTGTTTTGCTGTAAATGTAAATACAATGTGTAGAGTTCATAAAGCCTTGCTGCCTCGCTTGAAGAGCAGCAGGAAATGTGGTATTTATTTATAATCTTTGTATCTGTACTGTGTACATACATCCTTCTATCTAAGTGTTCAGTAACTTGTAAAGGCTGATTTTAGTAAATAAACATTATACAAGATCTGAAAGTGGCTGACTCATTTAAAAAAAAAAAACCGCGTTCGCTATTTTGTTGAATTAGTGGAGCAGGAGTTGTGCTTATTCAACACATTTCAACAGACTTCATTAATGTAATGTTTATTTATGTATTTCTAGTGAAAGCACTGCCAAACCGCAACCATTGTTACCAATAAATGAAGCATTGCCTGCCCACTTGCCTAATTGTTTTATAATGGAACCTTAAAATGGCCCAATAATTACAACTGTGATTTTCCCAAAATATCGTGCCATTTACCTTAGACAACTTTATACGTCAAACGAGCGAAGACACTATTCATAAAACACTTTGTGGATATGTTAACATCAGCCTTTATCTGAGTAAAACCTTTTTTAACACAACAATTTTAACACAACTCTGTCTTCTTTCCTACTTTTTATCAAAACATTTGTAATGGTAAATACTTTTTAATTTAACATATATTGTCAATTCATTGTCATTTCCAAAAAAAGGGAGTTGGAGTTGGAAGGCTGTTCACACAAACCTCCTGCCCAATAAAACAACGTTCGGTTGGTAAAATGTGGTGGGCCTTGGGCGGTTGCTGCGCACCTAAAGAGACCGATATTCACCTGCAAATGATGCTTCCATAGCTAAAATAAATCCAGAAATATTGCAAAATGAGCACAAATTATCAGTTCGATGACATTTGGACAAAATATATCGTATATTTTTAAACGTGGTGCGATAATTGATTTCATTGTGCCCGTTGTTTTGATCCCTGCAACACACAGAGGTAATCATTTATATGTTTAATCTGTAGCCTACCATGTTAATTGCAAGTACTTATACCTTTAATTAAGAAGAAAAACTACTATGTTATTAGGTTCTAGTCGCCCTACACAAAATGATCGTAGCCTATGTCTGGTTTATATGACTCAACAGTAACAAGAGTAATACGACTTGCAGTTTAATATAGGTATATTTATTTTCACTCCAAAGCACCTGTAAATATACAGTTTATCCTTAATGTCAGGGATGTAAAGTAACTGAGTAGATGTACGCAGGTACTCTCTAGTTAAGTAGAATTTGTTCAAGTAATTGAACTCGAGTAGCCTATTTCATTTTTTTTGTACAATACATTTCAGAAGTAAATAGGGTATTCTCCCTCCACTACATTTATTCAAAAATGTTGTTACTTTGCAGATTTGGATAAATGATGTGAAATATAATCAACACTTAAACGTTGGTTACATCTGGAGTAAATTCACAATGTACCCTGCAATTAATATACAAAGTCATTAAAACTAGCTGCACCTTTACCAGCTTCATTGCATTCATATGTTTTTGTTTTTATCAAAACATATTATGTATTATTGTGAAATGGGCCAATCTGCAAAACGAGTAGATTTACTTTTGGTAGCCTACTTTAATATATTCAGATGCTATACTTTTCTACTTTGCCTCGAGTAACATTTTGATTGCAGGACTTTGACTTGTAACATAGTATTTTTACAATTTGTTACTTCTACTTTTATTTAAGTACAAGAAGATGTTAGTACATTTTCCACCTTTGCCAAATGTACAGTCAGAGACTAAAGATGTATATGAGCTTTTCCGACGGACAAATTAAGGCAGTGTAACTCTCGGTAGCTGCCTTACCCGTCCAGCAGAGGGCGGTGGCGGCCATGTTGCTGATCCTCCACTCATAAAGAAAACCACTTCCGCTGCTCCACTACGTCACTACTCTTTCAGCAGCGAGGTGAGTACATCCGAGCAGCGATCTCCTAAATGAAATCTAAAGAAAGTCTGTTTAAATAATCGTTTGTGCAACTTATACACGTGTCTTTGTGCATGATTTTCAACAGTACACGTATATTTTCCTGGGTGTTTTGTGAAAAACCCTGTGTAATAGAGAGACTTGACTGACCTTCACTAGCAAGCTAACAGAGCTAGCAGGAGTCTTAGACATAATGTCAAGGGCCTGGTGTCATTGAATGCCTATGGTCAAACATGTGTTTTCACCATGTCAACTTCTCCATTAGTTATTAAAAAACATTCCTTACAATGTAGCATAGTCTTTTTTCGAAACGTCACTTTCGAAAATGCATTTCTACCTGACGCTAACGCAAACTGCTAAGTGTTTATAACATCACAATGCGCCTTAAATTGCAAATACAAGTATGTTTCTCTGTCCAGGCTGCAACTAGGATGCACTAATGAATCAATTATTTTCATCTATATATAGGCTACATATAACCTTTGTGTCAGCAGCAGGTAAATGTCTTCCCATGTATGTCAACCGTAGTATAGCTAACGTAGACGATCACTACATAGTATACATTACATAGTGGAAATTCAGAAACACCCTGTCATTATTAAACCTGCTACACATTCATTACACACAGCCCTGCAATACATCCTACTGTCATTAAGGGTAACATGTTCAGAAACCACTTGAAATCCATATTTCGTTTTTTTTAAATATTAGTTGTTTACCCTCAATGATATAAACGGGGTAAAATATTCGCCAGCGATTACAACTTGCGAAATGATCATACACTTTATCAACACCTACCTAAAACACAAGTATTACGTTTCACTTTTGACCTTGTTAGCAGACAAAAGTTCATTCAAAAACTAAGTAAGGGACCTTGAGTTAAGTTTTTTTCTCCTGTCAAACTCCCAAATAGCTTCAAGACACATTGAATATCAACATTTATGCAGCTGGGATTTATTGCAGTACTGTACTATAGTATTAGTATTAGCTAGATGTACTTCATTAACTGGCAACTCAGTGTGTGCATATAACCAGAAAATAGGTTTTTCCGTAGTAGCCTGGTTTATTTTCATGTTTTTGATGGGCTTAATTTGACGAACAAGATTTCCTTCTTCCTTTCAGACATACATAATGGCAGGCCGCCGTGTAGCCGTGAAGGCCATTGACTGGTTGGCGTTTGCCGAGAGGGTCCCACCCAACCAGAAGAGCATGTTCAATGCTCTGAAGACTCGCAGTGATGCCATCGCTGCCAAGTTAGTTTAACACAAACAACAGGCTTAGAATGCTATGCCAAGTCAGCTTGAATCAATTTAGGTCTTATAGTGTTGAACTGTACTGTTGAGAAGTAAACTGTGAAAAATGTGGTTTGACGGAGCATGGACAAAATAAATTAAATTGTGCGCAGGGGAAACAAGAAAGTTACCTGTGCGAACAGGTGGAGATGGCGCTTCCTGAGACCACCAATGCTTTGCAAACTATTATGTTTACTTGTGGAAATTAAGTGAGTTATAATTCAAACTCTTACTTGTTTTTAAAGACATTTTGGCCAGGAGTGTAGTGCTATTTGTTTAAGCACCAGAGCGCAAGTAGGACATGAGCGTGCGTACGTGCACATCAATCAATTAATCAATCATATTGTATTAATAAAGCCCAATGTCACAAACTACACTTGTCTAAGGGGGCTTTACAGTGTGTACAAGTAATAGACTCTCCAGCTGAACTCGGCAACGCAGGAGACTATTTAAACAGGAGACTATTTAAACAATTCATCTATAAATTCTCACTGCATCAGCTGCCCACAGTTTTACTAGGAAAACCTCCTCTACTTCATGAAATGGCTGCAGCATCAGCAGGCAGCGGGATAATAACTTAAACAAATAGCACTACACCCCTGGCCAAAATGTCCTTAAAATTAAGTCAGAGTTTGAATAAGACTCAATTAATTTATGTACTGTAATTTCCTCACATAAACATAACGGTCTGCAATGAACTGCTGGTGTAGCTCCACTTCCTCCTGTGCGCACTGGTATCTTCCTCGTGAGCACACAAACATTTCTTATTTTAGTGTAATATATCCCAAGAGAAGCTCCGCAGGTTTACAATTTGGTGATATTTGAGGAAATGTGTATTGAGTTACAATTCTGTTATCAGGCAGGCCTTTACCCATTATGAGATAACGTTTTTTTGCGGGGGGGATCCAAGATGCGGACAAAAACGTTTTATTACGTGTATTTGTCATTTTATTATTTTGCTTGTTATATGCATTTTATTGGGTTTCTTATTAGCAATTGATGCAATGGGTTATTAAGTTGTCTCTGCACAGTTATTTTCTTACTCACCTTTTTTATCAACGAGGGAACACATTTGCTTATTCTTAACTGTTAAAAACTCATTTGAATCTTTGATGTCCTCTTGAGTTTGCTTACTGTACCTATATTGTCTGTTAAACTCCCATTGTCTCTTTGAACCAGACTGAGCTCCCTGCCAGAGACTGCTGCAGCCATTGACTGGAGTCTCTACCGGACCACGGTGGCCAAAGCTGGGATGGTTGATGATTTTGAGAAGAAGGTGAGCTTTACTTGACTGCAGTATTTAACTGATCATGAGCATAATGCAATCGTTCAATTACATGTGGGTGTAAGTAAAATCCCACATCTGACACTGGTAGTTAGCTTTACTGAGACCTTTCCACATAATGTAAAACACAATACTGGACCCAAATAAATGGTGAATTCAAAGGATTCTCTAAAGCAGGGGTGGGGAACCTCCGGCCTCCGGGCCGTACACGGCCCGCGAGACCATTTACCCCGAGGTAATTTATAAACACACGCAAAAAAGAAAAAAAATTAAGAAATCTAGACCGCAACAAAATTAAACAAGCGAATGCCTGTTTTTCATGGCCACGGTCAGGTTCCTTGAACACAACACGAGCCTAACGTGTCATCACGTGGTATATGTCTCATCTGACAGGGGTGTAGTGCTGACGGAGAGCCGCTCCGGCACTTCCAAAAATGGCAGTACCCATAAGGAGCCATACACATGCCGCAGTTTTTGCGTGGCTGTGTCTTTAGTTGAAAGCCCAGTGGCGATCTGTTCATCTGTCATACTGATCATACAGTCAATAACTTTGTTATTAGCATCTGGTTAGCTAGCTATGCTAACGAATATAAGAAGCTTTTTCTCCAACCAGTGAGGTAAAGGCACATCTTTATATGATCATTATAGTTATAAAAAAATAAGAGAATAAAGTAAACGGGTATAAAATACTATATGACAGTAAAAATAAGTTGTTATTAATAAACAAGAATAGAGTTTAAAAGGAGAGTGATTTGTAAAATATCCATAAAGAAAAAGAAATGTGCTTCCAGTTCTGTTTCATATGGGTGTTGAGAGATGTATCCATAGATCTCTTAATTTTGCCCCATTTTGATGCTTTTAACTTCAACATTTAAAAAAAAATCTTCGCTAGGGGAGGTTAGGTCCCCCCCCCACTTAAATAATGTCCACATGGATAGGATACTAAATGCATTTGCACACATCTTATGACCACCCAAACAGAAAGATATGGACACGTCACAACCGTGCACGCATGCATGGGCGAGTCATGGTAAGATATCTGGATTAAGAGGTTGCTTTTTCTTTGCACAGCATGAATGAAAGGCGAAATGAATGGGCTGTGATTTTAGTATTTTTAAGCAGAGGTTAATAATTTGTACGGCCCTCGGAGGATGTTGAAAAAATTGAAATGGCCCTTGAGAGGAAAAAGGTTCCCCACCCCTGCTCTAAAGGCAGTAGAATCTGACAAATCTTGGGTTGTCACTGAAGCTTTGTCTTAAAATAACTTATTTTTCCCCTGCAGATTTAATGACTTGCAGTGCTATTTGAATAATTGCAGTTTTATGCGTTACAGTGCTAAATGCAAAATGTTCTTTTTACACACAGTTCAAAGCCCTGCAGATTCCTCAGCCTGTGGACACACAGACCTCCGCCATCAACGCACAGCAGATTGAAACTGTAAGTGATTACACCTACAACAACGGTATAAAGTTGTATCATTTGTTGACTTTTTATAAAAAGAAAGATTGTTAAACCAAAATTGGTAACTCTATGTCATTTTTTTGTAAGCACTTAAATTATGTTAATATACACAATAGTTAACACTAACGAAATCTGACTATCTGACACTGAATTTCTTTGTGCTAATTAAAGCAAGGAAAGACAGAAACCAGAACTGATATTCATTGAAATGTATTATTTGATAGTACCAGCATTATCTGTAGAAGTGTAAGGTATAATTATTTCATATTTCTCCTACAGGATAAAGATGCTCTAGCCTACATTGAAGCTTCTAAGGCCCGCGTTGCTGAACATGAGAAAGAGGTGAGACATTTGTTGCTAAAACCACTCATGCACTTCATCAGTAAACCTGCATTTATAACCTTACTGTTTGTTTTCTGCTTCTCTTTTTCTATTCTTCCGTGTTTGGTCTCAGCTGGCTAAATTTAAGGACATGATTCCAGTCGATCAGATGACCATCGACGATCTCAACGATTACTTCCCCGAGACCAAATTGGACAAGGAAAAATATCCCTACTGGCCCCACCGGCCCATTGCGAGCCTGTAATCATATTACTGGCCACTCGCCCATCAATAAAGTTTATGTATTTGGAAGAGAACCATTTGTTTATTTCATTATTTGATGCACATGTTATTTTCAGATTCTTGACTGTTATTTTGACATTAAGACCAGTAACAGCAACCTGTGATACTATAGTTTGAGCCCACAGGGGGAGCGATATAAAGGCTTCTTACTAACATGTTGACTTGCAGAATAATGGTATCCTCTTGGGTTTATATCTGTAGCCGGTACCACTGTACGATAATATATGTTTCCAAGGCTTGAGCATCAAAAGATGTGTGTATTAACTTAATGTTTCGAAGGCTATTGAGCTTATATAGTAATAAATAAATACATTACCTAAGAGTTGTTGGCTAATTTAATAAGTAGACGTGTTGATGAAGACCTCTGTTGAGTACAGAGGTCGGGTATATAAAGTAATTGACATTTATTATCTGTGATCAGTAATATAAAGCTTAAATTAAATTCACATAGTGTTTTGTATGTTCAAACTTGCCCGTGTGTCTCTCATGTCGAAGTCCGAATAAAACGCTCAAAAGTTTACCTGCAGTTATAGACAAATGCAATATGTCCTGCTGATGTTACCCAATCGGGGATGTACTGGCTGTCTTCCTCAAAAATGATTGGAAACTCACTATTTATTTACATGTATGTGGGTGGAATATACACCATTCCCCAAAAATAGGCGTTTTGATTGGCCCATCTTTACGGCTTCTCAGTAGATGATTGGCTAAAATTCTGGTGGAAGGAAAACAGGAGGGGCTTCATCAGTGATTTCCCTTGTATGTTATTTGAGTCAGTGCCGATTGACGGGAGTGTATCAGATCAGGTAAATGCATTCTTGAAACGGCTATGTATTATTTGATGACATATTGTTAGTATGACAAATGTAAGCTCACGGTCGTGTCATTTATTGACCGTTTTATTTTCGCGTTTGTGTTTACCGCGCAGTGAAAACGGGCCACCCCTTCAAGTGTGTGTCAATAACTGTATGATTGCTGCTGCGGAGGTCAAAAAGACAACCCAAATGTTATTCAACATAAATGATGGCTTTGAGGTGCTTTACTTCCACATCCGCGATGATGACCACAGCGAACAGACAACAGTAGCGTCGAAAGCTAGCTAACGTTACCGTTACCCAGTGACAGCGCTAGCCGCAGGGATTACGATATGGATGGGATATTCAGGCAGGTGCCCTCTGCCCTGGACGCTGGAGAGATATTGTGATTGCTATTTTCAACCCACGAATCTTACGAAATACTAACAAATAATACTACCACATTTGCTTAACGTTTCCCAAGGCTGAAATCACACATTTAACACTTGTCCGAATATAAACAATAAGGCCTAACTATATATATGTATCCACAATCCCCTGTGTGCTTCCTTTGCCTGTTAGCTAGTTTAGCTAACTGTACACCACTGCGTCAAACACTCAACATCAATACACACATGCGAGTAGCCTATACGAACTACTGCTGCGAATTAGCAACATTACGTATTTCGTGTCGTAGCTTGAGGTTTATTGGTAGAAAATTATACTATTTTTTTTTTGTTTTCTGTTAAGTGGTTCCCCGCGTTTCATGTGTTTACAACTGAACAATCCTGCCATGGGATTTACGAGATGTCAGTAAGTCAACACCTCTGTGAGGTGCAAAACTATTTGGTCGGGGAATTATGAGATAATGTCAACCTCTGAGTTGACCTTGGTCAGAAGTTTGCTGATGCCTGTATGTTGTTGTGTTATGTTGTCTTTTCTTATAGTTTTATTAAAATCTGTCTCCACAAAGTGTGAAGTGTACAGTTGGCTAATCCTTCAGGGTCAAAGGTGATAGTCCAGCACAGTGTTAAAAGTAGTACATTCAACCAAATAAATGTTCCTCTGTGGTTGTCTTCTTGCACTGGCACTGCAAAATCCTTCAAATGTGGATATAGTGCAGAGTCACAGTAATGGTTTTACCTTGTGGCAGACATTTTCCAGCCATACATATTCCTAAAAGGGGGTTTAAAATGCATCATCATACAGGCACGTTTTTGTGAATATCATGGCCTGGAGGGTGTATTGTGTTAGGTGAAAACAGACATGGCTGTGTTAGTAGTTGGCCCAGGTCTGTCCCTGGACTGAAGAGTCAACACTAGCTTCATTGTACATAGAGGACAATGAGAATAGGCCTGCATGGAGAGAGGCACTGCTAGGAGGCTAATGCGTTGCTTATAGTCTCATTTACGGGGATAACAGGCCTGTGCTTTTCTTACAGTTGTATCACCACACTTGATGCTATATACAGCGAAAAGAGAGACAATCTGAGGCAAAGTGTAATGTGAAGCAACATGTTTTGAGTAATAGCAAGTACGTTTTGTTACATCGCTTGCTGCGATAGCCGACTGCTACAAGAGGCAGAGTAAGACATGTTTTACAAGAGCACTACATATAACAGTTATATCCCAAAATCTACAAGCTTGTTTTTGGAAAGGCAATTTTTTAAAATAGTAAAAGATTTGATAAATATGACTGACTGCCTGCCCACTGCTGACATTTGGCTGCTGTTGATTTTGCACTCAAAGATTGAAAGCATGGTGTTGTTAACAACACACACTTTTCTTATAATTTACTTTGTTTATTAATTTGCACTCAGCATTAAAAGACCACTTGTATACGAGAATGTCATTAACAATTTCTGCAAAATAATGAAGACCATATTATAACCTTTTTATGATTATCAATATTGGAAGATTAAGTCACATTTAATTTTCAAATGCACTTATATAATAATATAATATATTTTGGTTTGAAATAAGTGTGCTTGAAGCGGTGATTCCCTCGCAGCAGCCTCCTGTTCTGTTTGTGTGTGACTCACAGGGGTACTTCATGAAACATGACACTGCATCCTCACCCTTTCACTGATTTAGTTTCATCCATGCAGCAGTTCAGCCACAGATGTTATAGATTTCAGCAGTAAATACATCAGACAAGGGATGCAGCTGATGCCAGTCTGTGTTGTTACCTCATATTCAGTCTGGACAATGTTGGGACATTGCTGGTATCATTGGCAAATATGTTCTTTAATAAACCTTTTAACAGTCAATATGAGCACAAAACATAATTATTTTACATTGAATGTCAGATAAGAGCTGAAGCCTTCAATACATTGATGGCTTTTCATTGTAAAAACTGAATTGACGGTAATTGGAAATTCAGTCAGTTTTAGGCATACATACTAAAAGAAAAACATTGAACCGTCTTCCTAAATGAAATGATAAGCATCTTTTCTTTGTTTCATTTAATTGTGAAGTGAAATTTATGAAGTTGATGGGCATTTGTTTTACTATTCCTAATTACTTTTTTTGAAGGATTTATTTAATTACCAGTTAATTTGATGATTATCAAAGGGCTGTAGATAATCATTCTTGATCATTTTGCCGTAAAATTACTGAAAAAGACATTGATTGTCAAAAATAATAATCAAATAAACAACTTAACATTAGTTGCAGGCCAACTGTTGGTTCTGAAGTTAGTCATTTTATTAGCAGTATACACCAAGAGCAACTGAAGTACAGTGTTTATAAATCAATGCATTATAATGTAATGCCAGAGGAGATGCAATCACTATACAATATCCTTATTTACCAATATGAACATGCACTAAAACATCTTTAAATACCTAAGACACAGAACAAGAGGCTTGTTGTAACTTCTATGGCTATGGTAATGTCTTTTCTCTAATGGTCTTGAAGTGTTGGCTATTAGCCGTGAGACGCTTTCTTGTTTAGAGGCTTCTTCGCTCTGCTGCTGTATCCTACTTTGTATGCCCTCAGCACACATGGAGTGTCTTGTTAGCCCAATAGTTTACCCTCCAGCCTCACTTCTGCTGGTGTAGGAGTTGGAAATCGGTGGACCTCAACGAGCTAAGCTAGCATAGCTGTTTATTTGTTCATAGACAGTGAATGAAGCTTGTGTCCTAGCTCCAGTACATAAGCCTGTGTCAGCTGAATCCGTCTGTACTGGCAGATGTGGGCAGAGAGGTGGTATGTAGCCATCCTCGATGAACTTTGGGAATTATTGCCTCAGCACAATGTCACAGTTATCAGAGGCAGAGACATCAAGCTGTCGGCTATAGGGAAACCTCTCCATTAACCGCACTTTCTTACACTTCTTACACATATTAATATACATTTTATTGTATTGCACTGTTGGTGGAGCCTGTGACCTAAGATTTTCATCATAACTACACTATAGCTATGTACGTATGACTAATAAAAGCCTTGAACTTTGAACATGCTCACAGGTTTAAAAAAGAGAAATTGTACAGGAAAACTATGCCTACAAACACTTTTTTATTATGCTGCCCTAAATGCTTTCTCTGAATCCCCAATAGAAGCGCCACAAATGAATTGGGACAGTAAGGAGATCATTCTGGGATAAAAAGAGGGGAAGGGGTTACCATCTGGAACGTTTGTTTTATCTGTTATCTCGATAGCTTGCTGTGTGTGTGACAGAGACTTAGCCTTGACCAGACTTAGCTGTAGGATGCAATCATTTGATCCCTCTCTGATTCTAGTACTCGGTTAAAGGGATTTTAAGTAGAGCTGAAGTCTGTTTCAACCAGACAATTGAGAATATAAACAGTTGTTTTTTAATCCCCTGCTTCATATTCTCTTTCTGGTTAAACACGTGTTTTTCTTTACAGCAGCTTAAAGCAATTACGTGTGTGTTTGTGTGCATGTATGTCCCTTGTTACAATGTTGCATTTTCCTAATAGGAGTACAAACTGTGCTGAGGTAATTGTGTAGTTCACAATGAGAAAGCTCTAAATAGCCAGGATGTTTGTTAATGTTAAGTACCTAGAAGCAAGGTGACATCTATCCATGGATGCAAATGAAAAGTCAGGAAAAGATTTACATTTCCTAAACAAACATTCAACCATTCACCTGTGTTTTTCTACTGTGACATGCCAAAAGGTCAGTTTTGTAATCATGTTTGTCTTTGTTTCCAGTGGCCGTTGATGGACCATCCCTATGAAGAAACAGGGTGACAATGGGACAGAGTACCTCAGAACAAGAGGTCCAAGGAGACACGCAAGAGGTTGGTTTTTCACTAGATGTATATTTAATAATTTAATAAAACAAAGTGAGCAATCAAGTTTAGCTACAAAAAAGTAAATATACCATGTGCCAATAGAAGTCAGTAAGTGGGCTAACATAAATTGTATAGCTGACAAGTGTCATCCTTTGTAAGGGTGAAGTGAAATGCCTGTTTCAGACACACAGACGATCACTCACAAGTTCTACATATAAAACGTGAACAGACGGTGACCTTACACAAAATACTGTATAGCAGTCCACAAGCACAAAAGACTGCACAAGCATCCTATATATTAGTTAATGAAAACGTGCATTTAGGTTACATGTTATGTCCCAATCACAGCACAGCACACAATAGCAGCTTATAACAGCAAACTGCTGTACCGGCAAACTCAACATTGACCTGATGAATTTGGCTGCTAAACTCAAATTCAAACCCCAGATCATAATATTCCCATAAGGAAGAAGCCCTCATTTTATTTCTAGTTTATTTTCATAAATCAAGTTTTAGCATACATTTTATTTATGGCTGACTGTTAGCTTGCAAGTCTAATACATTGCAAATGCTCCTGCTTTGAAAAGAACTTTCCCAGACATTAGCCCTACGATGTACATGTGTCTCTAAATCGACCCAAAACTAAGGAGAATGGCCAGATCTGTAAGGCTCGGTCTGAACTTAACATGAAACATATTTTCTCTTAATGAGAATTCTAAGCAAACATTATGAAAATAAATATAATAACCTAAAGCTAGAAATTGATCCTATTCCATTTTTTCTGATAATCAACCCATCACTTCCTGTTATGTGACGTATTGCGATGTCTTCACATGCATAGCTCTTCATGTTAAGATTTCCACTAGTGTTTTAGTAACAGACTTTCAATTTATTGGAGACACCACCTTTAAACTGCGAATTGCCCACGTCAACACTTTCCACACTTACACTTTGATTCACAAACTACATTGCTCCTACTTAAAGCCTCCAGCTAAAGTATATTTCTGTGTGCACATCCTGTCTGTGCACTCATTGAATATTCCCCAGTGCCTTTTCCTGCCTTAGCCCCTCACACTAATCAATATCCACTGATAACAGACATGTTGTTTCTTTGGCTGTCAGCCAGAACACTCAAAACATATTACTCTTGCACACTCATACTGGAGTGAAACAAACAAGCTTATCTTGGCTACAGGATCTCCACTCCCTGAACTGACAATCTTGTTTAGAGAATTACTTAGTTCAATGTTTGCTGAACTTTACTGATAAAAAGTCATTAATTAAGCTAAAAGGAAAATCTACTCAGCTTTTTAAGAGTATTCTTCCTCTGTGTAGTTGCTGGGAGGCAATGCACATGAATAGGAAAAAAAACATTTTGATCCTTTTCTTTCTTTCTTTCTTTCATGCTTTGTTGCGTTCTGTGTCTCTCTGCCTCGCATAAAGTCCACCTCCATCAGTTTTCATTATGTCTTGTCGTCATCTCATGGGGCCTTGTTTGTAGGTAGTGAGGCTACACCCTCTATAGCAGCACAAGACCATATTACTCCCTACATCCACATGTGACTGAATAAAACAAATCCATCAACTATTTCAAGGTCAAACTACATACAAAAATATATGTTTATTCAAAGCAACACTGGATTGACCCACATTAGGGGGGCCATGGGTCATATGCAAACGTTATCTTGTAGAGTGATCAGCAGACTGTGACCTTTCTGTAGGAATTCAGACGAGTCAGACGTTGATGTGATTTTTTTCTTCTATCTTTATTATCAGGTCCAGTCGGTCCCCACTGACATAGACAATGGACCAAGCGATGCAGATACAACACCTGCTTTATTTGAGGAAGCAAATGTGAGTTTTTAAATCTCTACTTTTTTGAAAATACAGTTTTTTTTCAAACATTACTGTTTTGTACTGAATTTACTGCACTGTTCGAACTGTTCTATTATTTGACTTATATCAACATAACTGATATTTATTAATTATTACATCGTCTTAATATTTTCTTAAAGCAGTTGTCAACCATTACAATATTGTTGCTAAATCAATGTTGCAGCTGTAGCCATTGGGTATGCTATTAAAGCGGCTGCTTGTAATCCTCTGTATTTTTCTGTTACACTAGGATGGGTTTAATAACATCAAGACATTTGTTGAGGAGGAACTACAGTCGAGCATGGTAAGTGCAGCAAATTGTATTAATGCCATACATGTTTTGCCATAGATAGCCCGAAAATAGTAAATAGTAAATATAATATAAGTGAATCAGTCATTAGATTTGGTCAGCTTTTGACCTTGTAAACACATCCACTCTCCTCTTCTCTTCTTCTTTTCTGTGCAGATGGTGGGGATGGTGATTGGTGCGGGCATCGCCATAGTGCTCATCGCCATCCTCATCTTCTTCATCTTGCGAAGGATCCAGCTTCGAAGTCAGTATCTGCTAAGAATCCAATCTCACCATGCATTGAGAAAATGTAAAAATAGTCAGGAAAAATAAGTATGTATTTTGAAGGTTTTATGTCATTTCTTATTTTTCAGACATAGAAGCTCAGGAGGCCCCCAAATACCGCTTTCGCAAGAGGGACAAAGTAATGTTCTACGGCCGAAAGATCATGCGTAAAGTGAGTGTTTGGATGACAGAAAATGATAATACTCTAAGCAAGCCTGCAAGTCTGTGTTGTAGTTATCACAGGCAACATTTGGCAATATATAAGGGCTATTTTTTTAACCAACATGTCTCTCAACAGGTCTCACAGTCTACCTCTTCCCTGGTGGGTACATCCTCTTCCTCTCGGCCGCGCCTAAAGAAGAAGCAGAAGATGCTCAACATTGCCAAAAAGTAAATTAGAAAGCTTTCTCTTAACAACAGAAAAACCTCTACTGAAAGTTCACTGTAAGAAGTTCACACACTTTCCCATCCCCTCCTCATATCACACTGTCCTTCTGCTGTGCAGGATCCTGCGCTTCAAGAAGGAGGTGCCAATCCTGCAGGCCAAGGAGCCCCCTCCCTCAGTGCTGGAGGCGGACCTCACTGAGTTTGATGTGGCCAACTCACACCTCCCCTCCGAGGTGCTGTACATGCTCAAAAATGTCCGGTAGGTTTATCTCCTTTTTTCATGTCTATGATTGTTTTATTTTTAGGGGAGTTCATCTTCAACTTCAACTTCTTTTCGATACTTGAAAAAGTTATATTATATGATTCACATGCACAACACACAAATACAGTATAAGCCAAATGGTCACATTTATTCATTCAAAACAAAAACACAAATACACTTTTTTTTCTTAAAATGTAATTTTTTCAAAAACATTTTATTTCTCTAAATTATGGTAATTTCAAAATAAATTGTACAAAGAAAATCTGTAAAACTAGAATAATGTTAATACTCTTCTAGGTTTTCTTCTGACAGTAATGCTTGACACCGCACAATCCTTCACTTGCTAAAACATGTCTGTACACTACAGAGTTGAATTGCTTGATTGATGGGCAACTCCTGTGAGGCACGAGACCTAGCAAACTGTGTTCATTAAACATCCCTCATAGCTACACATAATGAAGAAAAAGCATTTTAAACATACAATCATTACTGATTAGTTCACACATGACCTAACCTCCCTGTCTTCATTGCAGTGTGCTGGGTCACTTTGAGAAGCCCCTCTTCCTGGAGCTGTGTAAACACATGGTGTTTGTGCAGTACCAACAAGGGGAGTACGTCTTCAGGCCGGGACAGCCTGACAGCAGCATCTACGTGGTTCAGGATGGAAAACTAGAATTGTGCCTTACTGGAGCGGTATGCCTTGCTGATTATTTATTGACTCAGTCCGAGCTTTTATGTCTATATCTGTTTAACTGTCTGTACCTCCTCGATTTCTTAGAAAAGCTTATGAACACAAGTTGCTTGTTTTTTGTCCTTTTAGGATGGCAAAGAAAGCGTGGTGAAGGAGGTCTATCCGGGAGACAGTGTCCACAGCCTCCTTAGCATCCTGGATGTCATCACAGTATGTCACACCGACTTGCTACACACTCAAATTACACATACATGTGGCTTTTATTGTTGGACCCCACCCACCAACTTCCTTCTCATTGAGTCACAATCACCTGCTGACTCACTCATGTCCTTCACTAACATACACCTGACTTGTACATTTATCACACACATAGTTGTTATATAGTGTACATTTTAAATGAAATAGTTATCTTAAATCTCTAGGATTATCATTAAAATGTTTGAAATAGATTGTTTTTGTGTGTTTGTAATGTATACTGATGTGTGATATTTTACGATTGATATCTTAATAAAACATTGTCACAAAGGAACAACAACATTATTACTTCAAGAATGGTCTAGAATAAGCAATCTCTCACGTAAGAACTTATTAAAATATGAAAATGTTCTGAAGTACTATGTGGGATCTTTGTGTCCAGGGCCACCAGAAGCCTTACAGAACTGTTTCAGCACGGGCTGCAGAGGTTTCCACTGTTCTCCGTTTACCCGTAGAGGCCTTCCTTGCTATATTCGAGAAGTACCCCGAGAGCCTGGTGCGGGTAGTACAGGTGGGTTGTTGTGTGTTTAATTCTGTTGGTTCCTCTTTCTCCCTCTATCTTTCTCGCTCTAGTTTTCCTCTATCGTTCAGTAGAAATGTACGCAGTCATAAAACTGGTTTTATAATGGTGTGTCAGTTCGCCAAAAACGTTTATTTTATTTGTTTAGATTATCATGGTCCGTCTCCAAAGAGTAACAGTCCTAGCCCTGCACAACTATCTGGGGCTCACCAATGAGCTCTTCAGCCATGTGAGTTAAAACACACACACACACACACACACACACACACACACACACACACACACACACACACACACACACACACACACACACACACACACAGACATTCCCATTGAAACATCTGCTGGTGATGTGGTTTGGCATTTTTCAGGAATTCAGCGCTATAAACTCAGCACACATGCTGTTTTTATTACAAATTGAGTTGCAATAAGCTAATGCTTTGTCTCTGTTTCACCTCTCCCCCATCTCACATCATACACATATCATTTGCAATGGTCCTGTAGGAAATGCAGCCCTCACGTCTTCCACCTCCATCTCCCCATCCAACTCGCACCAGTCCCATCCGGCATGGTAAGCGCTTCGGCAGCCTGACTGTGACAGAGGAGCATCGAGAAGCTGCCGTTAAGGGTGAAGCTACAGGTAGGGAGAAAAAAACAGATAGGAAATTATTATCTGTGTGAAATAAAAATCTTAACTCTCTATTTCTGCCACCGTTTTGGGTTTAGTTTCTCTTTAAATTCCTTACCAGTGATTTTCTATATGTACCTACAGGAGGGGAACAAGGGAAGGATGGAGCAACAGTGCCAACTCTCAGCAGGACCATCTCCATGCCTGTGGACATTGCCGGTGAGGGACTTCTGCCCCTGTTCACAGAGAGATCATTTTTTCTTAATGTTCTTCAGTTTCAGCTATACGATGTGCTATTTTGAGAAGGCACTTTCGTAGAAACATTGCTGAGATGCCTGAGGGGAAGGGGTCAGAGTGGAAAGAAGATTTGTTGACAACGGCACCACAAAAGGGCCGGCTCCCGTGTCCTAATACCAACCCCTCAGCTCTTCTCATGTCATACCAATCTACAATAAACAACACGTACAATACTTAGTTTCTGGGCATGTTTTCCTCTCTTTTTCAAATGAAGCACAGTGCAATAAGAAGGACTTATCTTTACCCTCTGCAGGTAACGGCATGTTAACTCAGAGAAATGTATGGCATGGAAACACAGATGTTGAAACATGAGAACCAGCAGTGAAGTCAAACTGAGGGCAAACTACAGTCTCACCTTTTTTCACTAATGCATTGATGAAGACAAAGGCAGACAGGTCCATTATCAAATAAAAAACAATTTATAAAAATTAGATTTAAAAAATGCAAAAGAAAGAAAAAAAGTGTTTATGAGTCTTCTTATTTTACATACTGTTGGTGCCTGCATGAGCAATGAACTTGAAGTTTTAAAAAACAATTCTCAGCCATTGTGCTTTAGCAAAACATATTGCTCCATAATTTGATCTGTTTAAACATTATAACCTGCCGAAGTGAAGTAGTATTTTTCCCCCTAACAACAAAAGCTGATTGTTGAATTAATACTGAATATCTCAATGTCTTTGTCTGTGCAGTTCTACAGAAAGGCCTGAGATCGGACTTTGACATGGCGTACGAAAGGGGACGGATCTCTGTCTCTGCAGAGGATGGCAACACTCCTCCTACGTTTACTCGGGTCAGTACACTGCAGACTCTTGAGAAACAAAGAAGATAAGGTTAATTGATCTTGTGACATAACATTTGGTAACTACAGCAGAAGCTACAGTGGTGTTGCAGAACATGAGTCTTCCGCAGGACATGAATAACAACAATCTTATCCAGTCTATTTAAATATTAACAAGTTTTTACTAGAAACGTTCTCATAGTGCAATCATACCTTTTTTATATTGTTCAAAACATACAAGTTTTAAAAATGTAAACGTGGATTAAACATTAAAGTACGTTAAAAACACAGCGACATAGTATGTGATATTATCCAACACTTAATAGGTTGTAATTCTTAGTTAATCATCTCATCATTATTACTCATAGATAATTCATACTTTTTTGCAAGGGAAGCTCTCCCAATCTAAAAAGAAGTCATAGTTTATATTGAAAAGTCATAGTTTATATTGAAAATGTTTCATGTATGTGAACCATTGCAGTCTACATCCCAGGACCAGCGGGAGAGGAAGGTGACCGTGGACGAGGTTCCCTCAGGGATCTATCTGTATCCAGAGGAAGAGTCGGGAGTGGACAATATTTTTACACCTGTATCCAGTCGATCCAATGCTGCTTTGTTTGAGGATGCTCAGAAAGAGCTCCTCAAACTCATGAACATTGAGGTTTGTTTTATTAGTTTGCTTATTTATATTGTGTCTTTATTATATATTGGTATTAAATGGCACTTAAATAAAATACCAAATCCACTACAGAAAATGTAAAAACAGTAAGGCAACATTTGTTGTCAAATGCCGGTTTTAAGCTTTTTTACACAACTTGTATATATACATTTATTTCATCATATACAGTATACTGTAGGACCCACTTTCCTGGATTAAGAAATAACAGTAGGCTGATTATATTGTTATTTTTTGCATGAATGAACACATTGTCACTAATCACTCAGCAGCATCTGCTGACAGATTATAATGGGGAAAAGGGGTCAGACAGTAGGCCTACTATACAGGAGCTAGGCCTGGAGTATAGATGGGTGGGGGGGCAGACTGCAGTGTCATGCCACAGAGACATGTGTTTGGTAATATATGTAAGGGAAAAAAATGAGGTAACAGACTATGCATGCTAAATTAGCTTCATAAAACTTAAAATCCAGCAGGTTTTAGATGGTGTCTGGTAGGAAGTTGTTAATACACATTTAATGAAACAAGCGGTAAACCCTCTCTGTGTGCCTCTTGGCGGTTATTTCTACACCTAATATTTCAAAACATCAGTGTCTGTGTAATGAGACCAAAGCATGATGCCTTAAGTACATGTTGCAAGTAGAATGAAGACATTTAATCAATAATGCTGCTTGATTGACCGTTGTTTTTTCTTTCTTCTAAAATCTAGGACCCATCCTTGTTAAATGGGAAAGTGACTCTGCACCAAGCAAAAGCTGGAGCCGTCTTGGCCAGACAGGGAGACCAGGTAGCCTACTTAACACAAGAATGGACTCTTTTTGTAGACTCATAATAAACTTCAACTACAGAAGCAATGACATAAAGGAATACAAGGGGTCTTAAGTTAGGCAGCTTTGGAAACTAACAAAAATGTTAAGCTGATTATTTAACCCCTACAAATTCTTGTCATAGAACCTGCATAATATGTAAAAACGGTCAAATAATCTTGAATGAAATAATCAATTTTTTTCAGTTTTCTTTGTCTATATTTAACTAGTTTAAGAAGTTACACTTTATTTAAAAATGTTTAACTTACATGTAATAGGCTATACAAATTAAATGTATTACTCTTTTTGCTACCTGTGTGTCTATATTTTATTTATTTTTTCTATGTTACTAACATCAGATTCAGGATTTAATATGTATTTGCTGCACTTTGCCTTGTGTATGGCAGTAAAGTATAGTAGAAGTAGAAATAAATGCTAATCAAATACAATTTCACATGTATGTAGTCAAGGCAAATCATTTTCCTCCCTTCTTTCTGTTTTCTTCTTCTCTCTTTTAGGATGTAAGTCTCCACTTTGTCCTGTCAGGTTGTCTGCATGTCTACCAGCGAATGATTGACAAGCAGGAGGCCGTCTGCCTGTTTGTGACCCACCCGGGGGAGATGGTGGGCCAGCTCGCTGTGCTCACTGGAGAGCCCCTCATCTTCACCATCAAAGCCATCAGAGAGTGTACTTATGTCAAGATCTCAAAGTCAGATTTCTACGAGTGAGTCAATCTCTTTCAAAATTCACGAACAAGGAAAAAACCCTCAATTTTTTATTGAAGCTTTCTGTACAAAATGTTTTTGGGAATCCAAAATCTGGATTGCGTCCTGGGACATATTATGTTTCATGTAAATACAACAACATAACAACTAACTCACCAACAAAAAGTTACACTGATCATCATTACTAAAATTGTATGCAGGGCAAACAATGTAATTGCTCCCTTTTACAGTCTGTGACCCAGGTACATTGAGGTCTACTTAGAAACCTTCAGTAGTTTTTTTAATAATTTTCCATTATTTCCTTCATAATTATTTGAAACCATTATAATTTGAGCTATAAATCATCTGCTTCCAATCAGTATTGATACTGTACAGCCAGTATGGCTCATGTCTGTGCCTGTGTGCTGCCCCCTGCAGGATCATGAGGGAGCAGCCCAGTGTGGTGCTGAGTGCCGCTCACACCGTGGCTATCCGCATGTCCCCGTTCGTCAGGCAGATGGACTTTGCTATTGACTGGATGGCTGTGGAGGCTGGCAGAGCTCTCTACAGGTTTAGCAAATATTGACCTTTCCTGTGCAAATTGATCTCGGTCAGTTTATTAATTTCTACATATTGTCTTCTGTAATATCTGTGTTTCTTCTCTTCACATCTACAGACAGGATGACCAGTCAGACTGCACCTACATTGTTCTGAATGGTCGTCTGCGTTCAGTTATCCGCAAGTCCAACGGCAAGAAGGAACTTGTTGGGGAATACGGCAGAGGAGACCTCATCGGAGTGGTGAGTCCTTCTCTCCTCAGTCAGAGAATTCTGCCTGCATGTCAAATAAATCTCAGGCAAATCAAATATTGAGCTAAAAGCAGATTGAAAAGGTAAAAATAGCTATCCGTTTAATGTGTTGATAAGCTGATATTGGGTATTTTTGTTTCAAGTTGATTGCTATGTTGTCTGATTAGATGTAACCACATCCGGACAGTTTAAATAAAATGATTTCTTTACTAGATTGGTAGTTAAAACAGACACTGTATATTTAATATTTTAAAATATATTTATATAAAAATATAACAATTCCAGTCATTGATGTCGGTTGATTGGTTATTTGTTTTTATATTCAACTTCTTACAACTGGGTTCCCACGGACCATTACACATTTTTAAAGGGCTTTAAATTAAGCAATCTGAAAATATGGCCTTAATAGGTATTCAAATGTCATGTCTTAAAAAGATAAGCAGTTGGAAGTAGGATTTTCATCCCCAGTGGCATTAAAAAGACAAAACATTCTTAAATCCAACTAGCCTTAAGCTCAAAGACCTCTGTAGTATAATTCTGTTTTATTGGTTCTGAAACATCTCACGATCTAGTGTAATGCTTTAGGTGGAGGCCTTGACCAGACAGCCGAGAGCGACCACCGTCCACGCTGTGAGAGACACAGAGCTGGTCAAACTTCCAGAGGGAACGCTCAACAACATCAAAAGACGATATCCACAGGTCAGTGACTTCTCCTAGATCTGGTTGTGGTTGTGTGTGCGGCTGAACTGGTTCTGATGCTTGTCGTGTGTTTAGGTGGTCACGAGGCTGATCCACTTGTTAGGACAGAAGATTCTGGGGAACCTGCAGCATGGTCGCGGGCCATTCTCAGGTGAGATGATGACTAGTAGCATTTTATGTGCACACAAACAGACGTTCTTTAACATACATTATACCCCATTAACATACTTTCTGTCTTTCTTTCTTCCAGGCTCAGCCCTGAGTCTGCCCACGATGACAGCCAGTGCTGATGTCACCAACCCTGCCAGCAACCTCTCCACGGTGGCTGTCCTGCCTGTGTGTGATGATGTGCCCATTAATGCATTCAACCTGGAGCTCAGCCATGCCCTCAGTGCCATCGGTAGGCCCACACAGTTTTCATTTGTCCACTACACCCAGTAGTGGACAAAGAGTCTGGTATTGTTTGGTTATAACAAAAGTATTCATCACTTACTAATATTAGTTTTATGTTCTTCACTGTTTCTCTAGTAATATATTTTTGCACCACCTCTGTTGTTTGTCTGTCTCACTTTGACACTTGCAGGCCCAACTCTTCTATTAACCAGTGAAATTATAAGAGAGCGACTGGGTGCCTCTGCTTTGGACAGGTCAGTCTAACTATTATAAAAGCCTCTCAGTTCTAAGGGATGAATCGCATGGCACGCATTAATTATAAAACCCTGCCAGCAGAGACACTTTTCCATCACTTTATTCCTGCTTTTCTCCTTTATCCGTCAGTATCCATGAGTACCGTCTCTCCGGCTGGCTGGCCCAGCAGGAGGACATCAATCGGATTGTCCTGTACCAGACCGACAGCAGCATGACTCCATGGACTCAGCGCTGCATCCGCCAGGCTGACTGCATCCTCATCGTCGGCCTGGGGGACCAGGAACCGGCTCTGGGACAGGTATGCTTGGTCCTAGGAAATAAGAAAGAGAAAGGGGGGACATTATATTAACCAATAACACTTACAAATACAAATAATAATAATACATGTACTCTCTTTGTCTATTTTCAAATTTGTCTCCGTCCTCTTGTCTCCCCCCTCCAGTTGGAGCAGATGCTGGAGAACACAGCGGTTCGTGCTCTGAAGCAGCTGGTCCTTCTGCACAGAGAGGACGGGCCGGGCCCCTCCAGGACGGTCGAGTGGCTCAACATGCGCAGCTGGTGCTCCGGACATCTGCACCTCAAGTGTCCCCGCAGGGTCTTCTCCAGACGCAGCCCCAGCAAAATAGTACGCAGAAAAGTTAACTCTCTTTCCTAGCTTTAAAAAAAAAAAGAAGTTATTCTTTAATTTGCCACGTACATATATTGTATAATTGTACGCTTTCAGAATCAGGTCCTTTCAAAACTGTAGAGTGCATTTATAAAAAATATCTGGTAAATCTATTGAGCTTCAACCTGAAAAATGTGCAAGAACATTATTTTCTTAACATTTTAGTTTAGGGTTACAGCTTTGATGTGATTTTCATGTGTATATTCTATGTTTGTGCAGAGGGATGTATATGAAAAGGTGTTTGAGAAAACGGCAGACAGGCACAGTGATTTCTCTAGGCTGGCCCGAGTTCTGACCGGAAACAGCATCGCCTTGGTGCTGGGAGGAGGTGGAGCCCGGTGAGTCACGTCTACAGACTTTAAAAAGCCTTTGTGTTTTGTGATATGAAAAATGTAGGTTAATGCGGATAAGGATTTTGTAATGTAAACATTTTATACTATACTTTTTTTATATCAAAGGAACATCTCAAGTCATTTTACCAGCTAACAACATAAACAGTTATCTAGTGTACCTGACAGTTTGTGTTTCTTCCTGCAGAGGCTGCTCTCATGTGGGTGTGATCAAAGCTATGGAGGAAGCAGGGATTCCTATTGACATAGTGGGTGGCACCTCAATCGGCTCATTCATTGGTGCACTGTACGCTGAGGAGAGGAGTGCCGTCAGAACCAAGCAGAGAGCCAGAGAGTGGTCCAAGGTACAGCTGGCATTTATATAAATGTTTCAATCGTTTCTGTCTTAGACTAGGACATTTTACTTGTAAATTAAAAAGGTTAGTTTAAGGAGCAGCCTTTAATTCGGTGTATTGCAAAATATTGAAAGGGAAATGCTTAAAACAGTGTTGTAGTCAAGTCACCAATTCACGAGTCCAAGTCACTCTCGAGTCCCCACTTTTCGAGTCCAAGTCCGAGTCACCTAGGGAGAGTCGGAGTCGAGTCCAAGTCCGAGTCACCCAAGGAGTGTCCGAGTCGAGTCCGAGTCATCATTACCTGTGTTCGAGTCTGAGTCCGAGTCACCTAAGAAGAGTCCAAGTCAAGTCCGAGTCACAAGTCTTCATGTATTAATCTTAGTGGATATATTTGTTGTAATGTAGCTGCTCCTCTACATTGCTTTTATCCTGTCATGTTATACTAATCTGTCTATTGAACTGCTGTGAAGCCAGTTTGGCTACAATTCTTGTAATAGGTGCTATACAAATATAAAGCTTATTATTATTATCATTATTTTTTTATTATTGTAAATTACCTTTAATATGTCTAACTATATTTAAAATGAGTTACCTTTTAGAGAAGTGATTATATTTGTATGCCAATATTTTCCTATGGTAAAGTTTTCGTTTTGCACTTTTATTTTGATAGTAATAAGATCGGGACTCTTATTTTTGAAGGAACTTTAACCGGAAGTTAATGAACAACGGAGCAGTGTAAACACACATGTATAATGACGGATAGATGACGAATAAATTAACATATACTAAATAGTTACATTGGGTTTTTAGCACCTGGCTGATAAGGGCACAAGTTCTAACCATCAGTTAGAGAGTCTGACCATCCTTCAGCCGGGGACGCTACAATTATTATAGTGAATGTTTAAATTATATCAATAAAGATCAAGCCCCAGAAAGCACATGGCTACTTAGCATGCAAAATGACACATTCTGCATGTTAAGTAGCCATGTGCTTTCGTGTTATCGGCTGAATCTTTATTTATTGATTAGATCACAATACTCTACTAAGACAGCCTATATGTCTGAACTCGATCCTTAGAGTAATGTGTTACGGAGCCTTCTCTTCAATCTTTTTTTTTTTTCATTTTGCGCTGCTCTTTCCCAATGTCGAAGAAAAATGTGTGAAAGCATACAGCACGATGCGGGTTGTGTCTCTGGACATCTTTAGACTGGAATAGCGGAGGCGCGCCCAGTACGTGAACTCGCCTCGCAGATGCACACGCCAGGACAGAGTACATCTGACTCAAAACAAAACTTGCTCGAATCCGAGTCCAAGTCGGAGCGTCAATGTACAAGTTGGGTCCGAGTCATCGTGGGCGAAGAATTCACTAGTCAGAGTCATCGTGGGCTAAAAATTCACGAGTCAGAGTCATCGTGCGCAAGAATTCACGGGTCTGAGTTCGACTCCGCGTCAATCAGTGCGCGAGTCAAGTCCGAGTCCAGGACTCGAGTAGGCCTACTCCATCTCTGGCTTGAAAACTGATGAAAAGCAACAACCTGACATGTTCCACTAAAATATATGATTAACAGTAAACTTGTGTCCAATTTGACTGTACAGGCAATGAACTCGGTATTTAAAACGGTGCTGGACCTGACCTATCCCATCACCTCCATGTTCTCTGGGGCTGCCTTCAACACCAGCATCTATAAAGTGTTCCTGGACAAACAAGCAGAGGTGAGGAATCTCCTAAAAGGTCATTCTCAAGTTTGGAGTTAAAATATTTTAAAATGTTTTGCTGCAGTAAGATCTGCCAGACCCTGAGAGGTTTATGTTTTTGAAGCAGTCACTGGAAAAAGGTACCTTTTAGGACACTGTAATACTTTCTGTGCCCCCAGGACCTGTGGCTGCCATACTTCAACGTCACCACTGACATCACGGCCTCAGCCATGCGTGTCCACCAGGATGGTAAGTGACAGCTGAGCTGACTGCAGTGGCCGCTTTATCAGAGCACTATCGCCATTGGCTGAGTGTTTTTTTAAGATTTAGATAAGCTCAGGACATTACATCTGTGTGTTAGTTCGTACACTATTTGATAGCTTTAGACCAGCATACATAAATGCCAGCACATACACATAAACACAAACACAAGAAAGGATGTTATTCATTTCATTTAACAAAACTCAATCAATAATACTGCTCTCTATGACCGAAAACTAATTTCTGAAATTGGCATTGTCATCAATTCCTGTATAAAAAATAATTAAGCATTGAATAATGCTGGCAGCAGACAGTCAAAAGTGAAATGGCAACCAAACTAAAGTTATTTTCTAAGTGAATGTAATGCTATGCTATTGCACTAGTGACACTAGCCCTTTTGCATTTCATATATGTATACAATAAGTCAATAAATATTGTAGGTAATAGTTTATGCTTCATCTCAAGTGACTGCATGCTCTCTGATTTATGGTTTAAGGCGGGTGTACTTCGAACTAAATTGAAGTTGTTGTATTATAAAACTAAATAGTTACTAGTATTCCTTATGCGTTTGTGTAATAGTTTCCTCACCGGCTGGAGGACTTTGCGTCTTGTTGGATATAGACAATATTAAGTTCCACACAACAGTGTAAAAATGTTCTCAAATTCAATGACTACAATCCAAAAACACAAGGCTCAGAGATCATTTTAAAAAGCAGCAGCCATTTAAATCATATTATAGATGATTTACAAGCAATAATGTGTTATTGACTGGGGAAATAAACATACTAGGTTTCTTTGGCCAACATGCATACACTGCAGCCATCAAAGCCAAATGAATTCTTCATTTTTAGTAACAAAGCCCCTTTTTTAGTCTCCATAAACCTGCCAGTTTCAATCTTGTTTGGAGTACACCACGGCCAAGGGCTGAGACAGATTTGACTTAATAAGTGCAAAAGAAAACACTTTCTAGATGTTTCTATGCCGGTGACTGTATTTAATGATATAATTGCAAATGTGTTCTGTTTGACTTGAGTAAATGCACCATCCCTAACATTAGCTGAAGCCTGAAAGACCTCCCTAACAACCCTGCAAATCCAGTTTGCCATTTTTCTATGCCATTTAACTTTTCAGTAAAATCATTTAATGCTACCACTGTCATGTACAGTAAGTTGCATCAACTTAAGACATAGCGAGTCTTAAGGCAACGTTCTGAATTATTATAATTTAGGCTGGTGACTGGATTTGAGGGGTTTTGTTATGTTAGCATCTTGTCATGTGTTTGAAATAACTGCTGGAGCAAAGCTTCCTCTCTCTAAATCCTTTTTCCTATCATTACTTTTCCAATCTTTTACAGCATAGTTTTCTCCCCTTTATCTCTTTGGTTTCTCCTTTTATTTTAGTTCACTCTTTCTTTCGTTGTCTATTTGTTCTTTTAATTTTCCAATTTTTAACCATCTTTCAAACTGTTTTTATATCTAGAATTTGTATTTTCTGTCTCTATTAAACTTCTCTTCTTTCTTAGTAACTTCCTGCCTTTTCATACACTAAATTCATATAACTGTAGATTTGTTATAGTTTATTTATCTCCCACATTTGAGTCTAAAACTCCCTGATTATGCCCTTTGTTTATAATCCTGACATCAGGTCTTTGTGCACATAGAGATATCACAGATCTGTCCATCCGTAGGTAGCTTCATAGACAAATAACTTGTGTAGTTGCTGACCCCAAAAATGCTGACTCCTCTCCCATGTCCATATCAACATGTAGGATCCAGAACACTCCCCCCTGCTTCCCCCTCATGACTCCCTATGACCTCCCATTTTGCTTCTATCATTCATCATAATTCTGGGCTTTCTGTAGTTTTTCTGGTGTGCTTTTGTCAAACATAGCTAGCTTGATGCTAACCTGAATGTGTCACTTTCGCTCCTGTTTGAATTACATCTTTTATCCAGAGAGAAAAACAAATAAGACTAATATCTGAGAAAACTTAAAGATTAAACACAAATCAGGAATATTTCCGGTAAAACCTTTTCCAGTTTCACCTGCAGTTTTCACTTCAGTCTACAGTCTGGAGTATTTAGCTAAACAGTAAACAGCTCTTCCTGATATGACGGACTCTATCTCAGTCTTTCTCCCTCTTTTGCCTCTCTCGTTGCCTGTCTCTCACTCTCTGCCTGTCTTCCTCCCACCTTGCTTGAAGAACTCGTCATCTAACAACACTAATACTACTTTTTATATGCCTAATGAACACATAAAAACTAAAACTTGCATTACTGTTTTTGAGTTGTAAATCTGATTTACATAGATCTCGTTTCATTTACCCGACGTATTTTATATCATTCATATCACAGACTGTTTATTTATACTTAGTTTAAGTTGTGTTGTTATTGTGTTTATTATTTCGGTATCTTGTCATCATTCTGAACAAAGTCCATTATACTTCCTTATCAGCCTTTGAAAGGTTATAATTAATTGGCCTAGAGTATGCTTTTATTTAAAATTGGCCTCTTAACAGAACGTTTTGTTAGATAGCACAGGCAGAAGTAAATTATTTTTGTTGACATTGTATTCCCCCTCCTCTCTGTTTTGCTCCTTGCAGCCTCTTTCACTTTACTTCTCTTTGTTGCGGGCGTTTCTTACTCTAAATCTTTCTCTCTCTACCTTTACTCTCTTTCTCAGCATTCTTCTCTCTCTCTCTCTCTCTCTCTCTCTCTCTCTCTCTCTCTCTCTCTCTCTCTCTCTCTCTCTCTCTCTCTCTCTCTCTCTCTCTCTCTCTCTCTCTACTCTATACTTTATGTCTTTCCTGCTCTCTTCACCCATCTGTGACGTTGAGTCGGGTCCATATTTGATGTGTTCCTCCTTCTACATCTCCATTTCCCGACAGGTTGCGTCTGGCGATATGTTAGAGCCAGCGCCTCCTACACCCCCTATTTACCTCCCCTGTGCGACCCCAAGGATGGCCACTTGCTTGTGGATGGTTGCTATGTTAACAATGTCCCAGGTCAGATTTTAAAAACCCGCTCACCAAAACATCCTCCTCTCATCCTTAAGTCGACAATCGACCACTCGGCGTCCCTCCTCCTCTTTCTTGCCCTCTCCCTCCCAAGTTCTCACTCGTAACTAACCCCACCCTGACCAGGTGGACACTGGGAGCCCATGGTTTGGAAGGAAAGACTAAATCCACTATACGTCTTTTGATTGAGCCAAGCAGTGCCTCATCTTATACTGGCCAATATTACATTAACTCCAATTGGCTTTTTCGATTCACCCACACAGCACATGTTCTACTGTTGGCTTTGCACAACCTCTAAATATAACTGCTGAGATCTAGACTTTTAGACTTCCTTAGTAAGTTTGAGGTTTTGCCCATGCATGTCTGGACATCTATGGGACATAGAGAGATGCATGATGGTCCGGATTCTTCTGGCCCCCTAAGTAGATTTACTAAACTTTTGAACCTTCTCTTTAATTACCATCAAGTTCTGGATGAGGCTTGTATTCACTATTTGTAATGACCTTACGTGGCATTGTAATGATCAAACTGATCGTTTGAATATCAATTAATCACGCGTGTTACCTTCTATTCTTTGCCTCGACCTTGAAATTAATTAAATGGGGGGGTTATGGTGAGTTTTAGCCCAAAAATCTGTTTGCATGCCCCCATTTGCTTTAATTCACCTTACTTTTCTCGGTTTACTGTTAAGGCATGCCAAATAAACGTTTTCTTCATGAACTAAACGTCACAGGGGCTAAGTCATTGATGAACAAATGGTCATTTAGCGGGTGACATACCTTTTTAAGTGGTATGGATTGAGCTGGACTTTCCTTGTGAGATTAGGGAGTATTGTGTACTTCGATTAAAGGAAATCTAGTAGCGTTGCAGGAGACACTTAGTGGAGATAGTGATCGGCTGCACCATGTCAACATCGCATCTGTCTGTCGGTCAGGATCATTGTGCGTTTCATTGGGCCTAAATGCGTCTGTCCTTTGAACTATAATGCAGCTTGTTTTCCTTGTATTCTATAAGACGGTTGAATTGCTACTGTTTCATTTCAATCACTTCTACCTACAAAAACATGCCAAGCCTCCCCTACATGTACAGCACCTGTCCTCTCCCCTAGCTTTGCTTGCTTCTATGTGCATGCCAGTGTTGCGCACTGTGAGCCATATGTTTCTTTATATATTGATGGCATGGATTGCTTATTAATTTTTCTATAGATTTTTTATCATTATTTAGGATGATGTGTTCTGGATCCTGCTGTTGCCCTTTGTACATCATGTACAAAATACATAAAGCTGTAGGTTTTAGTGATTCCCCTCAAGTCATATTTCAGTAAAAGGATTCTTCTTCAGCATTTACATATACTTCAAGCATAGATGCACCCCAACGCTTCTCTCTGTGGTGCTCCCTATCCTTCCAACCCATGCAGCACCCTTCCTGCTCCTGCCCCCTGCTGGCACTGAGCTGGACTGCAGGACTGGGCAGGCTGGGTGCTTCCCTGCCATGTTCACGGTGAAGAATCTCCAAATATTGTCACAGCATCTGCCGCTGCTCATTCTCTCACATCTAGACAATTAATACATTATTCTTTAATTCTTCTCAATCAATATCATGATTGGTTTCATCTTATATTTTTATACGATTTTGCTTTAGAAAGAAGCTTATAATATGACCCCATGCCCTAAAGCACTGTTGTTGTTGGGACACTGTTTGGAGATTCAACCAGCCTTGGTGCTCTGTGATGGTTGCCATTTACTTTTTTACCTTTACGCACAAGTCACACAGGGTCTCTGTGCAAGGTAATGAGGTTTGAGGTGGTTTACTACAGAGTGTAGAGGTGGGCAGAACTACAGTCCTAGCCTTTGCAGGGATCGGCTACCTTCTTTGTCCGACCTCCCTCTTATGTTGGGATTGTGGTCTGTGTCGACACTAACCTGAAACGTATAGCAAACATTATTGAGATGTTATCGACCTCCCCTTCCTCCTCCCCTTCCTGGTGTGTCAGGCTCTCTGTGGCGCTATGTGCGGGCGAGCATGACCCTCTCGGGGTACCTGCCGCCTCTCTGCGACCCCAAAGACGGCAACTTGCTAATGGACGGTGGCTACATCAACAACCTGCCAGGCAAGTAGAGGTGGTACCCCCTCTCACCCTAGAAAACAATCCTCAATGTCCACCAAACTCCTGTCCCCCAGAGGAGAGGGGAGATGGAGTGAGGGAGGGGGATGATTATTACGAGTCATTTTAATCAGGTTTTTTGTAGGCTAAGGTAAGTATGTCAATTTGAGGTTTTCTTAATGCGAATGAATGGAAGTCAAGTTGTAGTGGAGGAGTGTGCTGAGTTTTCCCTGTCGGAATATGGAGCCAGTTCAAACCATCAAATGAGACAAATTTTATCCACATTTTTGTGTTTAGTAAGGAAACGATTTCTATCAGACCCTGACATTTTCTCTGTATTACAAGATGGGGAGAATTCAGCATTTAAACTTGTGATGGGGCTGGATTCGAATGTAAATGAGGACAAGGTCACACTTAAACACTTTACACTTTGTTATTCAAGCAATACCACATTGAAAAGGGGAATGTGTTATTAGCCTGTCAAACAGCCCGGTGTCAGAAAGGCGTCAAATAAAAAATGCTTAGAGGGGTTACCAACTGTATCAAATTGGAAGGGAAAAAAAGATTAGCAGTTCTTTACATTAAGACCAATGTGTGATTTTGCTATAATTATGCCATACGACACCAGTCTGCTTTGATATTAAAGTCAGGTTCCCCTTATGTCAAAATGAGCACTTGTCTGTAGAGCTGGGCAATATTTCACCTTGAGCTGAATCATACTGTGGTGATATGATCATATCATGTTATCATTAGGATGTGCAAATTAATGATTTCAAGCAAATTGTAATTTAAAAACAACAAAAGGAGTTATTGAAGTTCTAGTTTATCACTAATGAGAAGTTTGGATTCATGTAATTCATGAGTTCTGCTTGAACCTCAGTAAGATTTGTTCTATGATTAAGATTGATATCAGAAAAATATCCTTCCTAATATTCTGTTAATAAAACAATATTGCCCAGCCATACAATTTGTGTTCATTAATACACAAATTACTTTGGTGTGCAGATGAAAACTCCCCTTGAGTCGGTCTCTGTGTCGCTATGGTAAAGAACATTTTCTGTCTAGAAACAGCAGGGCCATGTTTCACAGTGCTCTGGACTGAGCTGCTGTAATTCTCTCTCTGCTCGTTCTTGAGGTCTGTGAAAAGTGAGGCTTTGCTTTTTGGGTCCAAAGATTGATTTAACTCTAGGCTCTTTAAAAATCAACATTGTTTATTTCTGACTCTTGTTTCTCTGCCTGCTCTCTAGGGAGTTTGTGCTCAATCAGCTGCATTTTCTAGTTGTTCTTGGCACTATGGATCAGTGCGTTGGGCTTGTGGGACGTCTTCCTGTTTTTCTGTCTTAGAATAGGCTCAACACCACAAAAATGCTCGCTGTCCCAACGCTCGTTTTAACACTAGAAAGTCAATGAGAAAGGTCATGACCTCCGGCATTGTGCCCATTGGCCAGGGAAGTCTAGATTTTCCACTTTCAAAGTTGCAGTGTTTCCTGTCACTAATTGGCTATAAATCCTCTGCAGTGTATCTGACCACTGAAACATTGTTGTGGTGTAAGTCTGTTCAAACATTGTGCTGCTAAAATGAATGTTTAATTAAATAAATAAATATATATATATATATAATAACACAGCATCCGTTGTTTTACCATCTCTGCTGCTGGATTTTGCCGTGCTGTGTTTGTGCGTCTGTGTGTGTGAATGCTGGTGGTTGCGCTACACGTTCAACAGCGGACATTGCGAGGAACATGGGTGCCAGAACAGTTATTGCCATCGACGTAGGTAGCCAAGATGAGACCGACCTCTGTAACTATGGAGACAGCCTGTCTGGCTGGTGGTTGCTTTGGAAACGGATCAATCCCTGGGCAGAGAAAGTGAAGGTACAGTTGGCAGCCCAAGGTTCTGGCTACTATTGGTGACTCAGCATCTTATAAATACTGAGTAGTGCATTTTAGCTTTTTTTTTTTTAAATAAATATGTAGAAGAAAGGATCTGCTCTGTCTGCAGATTGCGAAATACATGTGTTTGTGTTAGTGTTAATTTCTGGTTCTTACACTGTTCCTTCCCCAGGTCCCCGACATGGCAGAGATCCAGTCTCGGCTGGCTTACGTCTCTTGTGTGCGGCAGTTAGAGGTTGTAAAGAAGAGCGCCTACTGCGAGTACATCAGACCGCCCATCGACCGCTTCAAGACCATGGACTTCGGCAAGTTTGACGAGATTTATGTAAGTAACTTTATAAATAATGCCTGTTTTTACCATCCACTTGGACTCAAGGATGGTTCAATTACATTTTGGTGGTCAAAGGTCATGGTCACTTTAATCATTAGGCATTTCATGTGGTTCCCACTGCCACATCCTAAACACAATACACAGCCAATTACCCAAATAGAGGACAAGTTAGCCAAAGAGCCAGGGAAGTAGCAGGAAATGTGCTTTAACTCCGTAACTCTCTATTTTAGCTGTGAACACTAGCTGTACCTCTGATTGCACCTCACACAATGATTCACTGCAGCACGTACAAAATACAGTTTTGAAGATGTATGTTCTTCTGAAGTATAGATCATTGCCGCAACTAGCAGCACATTTTAACATGAATGAAATGTTGCCAAATAAACAAAACATAATTAAGAAACAAAGTTGCTATATTGAAAGTACCTTTTTATTTCTGTTTTAAAATACTTCAGGATGTGGGCTTCCAGCATGGCAAGTTGCTGTTTACTGGTTGGGCCCGTGGCGACATTATCGAGAACATGCTGAAGGACCACCGCTCAGCCGACTACAACGACAGCAAGAGAACTGACGTGAGAGCACGCACGCACACACACACACACACACACACACACACACACACACACACACACACACACACACACACACACACACACACACACACACACACACACACACACACACACACACACACACACACACACACACACACACACACACACACACACACACACACACACACACACACACACACACACACACACACACACACACACACACACAGTTTGCATTTTTTTAAATAAGTTTACTAATATTGAATTATAAATATGGTTGATGTATTACTACATACACATATAATGATGTTTTTTTGTGTTCCTTAGTCCTGCACGTGTCCAGCAGCTGACTTCACTGACCTTGCAGAGATTGTATCCAGGATAGAGCCGGTTCAAAGCTACGTGGCTACAGAAGGTACGACAACTTGCCAGTTTCTTCATTAACATTATCTAATAATATTTCCTGTTAAGAGTGGTTTAAAATATTTAAACACAGCTTGCACACAAAAAAGGTTTATGCTGCAGTCTCCTATAAAGGAACGATTAACCTTCAAGATCAGGTTCAATATAATCCTTGTAATGAATCAGGGGTCATCGCTTTTTTCGGTCTGTTTTATTGAAATACAGCAGGAGATGGCCCTGATATTTTATGGGTACAATCTAAACCAGCGGGTCAGTCACACAATAAATTCTCTCTGCAATATCTCCTCTAAATCTTTCCATTCAGCGGAGGAGTCAGACTGTCTGACGGAGTACGAGGAAGACGGCATGGACACAGTACGAGAGGAAGAGGGTGAGGAGGAGGAGGAGGAAGAGGCAGAGGACCCAGACGATATCTCCCCTGGAGAGTGGGGCCAGAATGGAGTCTTTCAGACTGTAAGCACACACATAAACACAAACATGTGACCGATCCAAATAACTACAGTCTCTTCTTTCATGGCATTTGAAAATTCTGGACCCATACCAATATGTAAAAGAACAATTTGGCCTAAACTGACTACTGTTTATTTTCTTGTTGTTGATTTGATTGGGAGTGAAAATTCAAATAGTGTCACCTGAAAAAAGAAAAATTGTGCCCGGAATATTTTTTACTGAAGAATAGAAGTAATTTGAAAAATTCAGCTTTTTGTTTTTATTTTGTCAGTTCATGTCATCCATTAGATGGAGTTCATACTGTTTCTTAAAAATAAATTCTAGATTAATCGATAGTTTGGTCAATAAAGTGTCAAAAATAATGTGTATCCAGGGTTGTCAGTCCAAAAGTGTGTGTACATTTAAAAAAAAAAAAAACTCTCTTCTGCTCTCTAGGATGAGGAAAAAACTGTGAGACAACGCAGGAAACTGGCCAGTGATTCCAACACCTCTGAAGTCTCTGACTGCTGACAAAGGAGTATGGAGGAGAGGAGGGAGTTTATACAAGAACAAGGGACAAATTACTGGTCCATAAACTGTAAAAGATAGAGACTTGGACCCCACGCTCAGCTCCTACAACTTCTGCAGGAAAACGCTGTTCATGCTCAAAATCCTTGAACATTCTTTGCATCGAGTGGCTTTCTGTTCACATTTTAACCCCACCGTCGAATACAAACAGTCTTTTTATGCTCTTCCCTGCCCAGCAATTTCTCTCATCACTTTGCATCAAACTTACCGGTGCCAGAATCCCTGCCTGCCAAACCGGGACACAAACAAAACACAACTGGGACACCTAAAACTCCTAAATCACACATGTTTTTTTGTTTCAAATGGCCAGAAGGACCCTGTCTGTGTCCCTGATTCTTTACGTGTGTCTCTACCGTTGGTACATTTTCAATTGCACTCAATTATTGAGGATTTAACGCATTACATAGTCCTACGATTTCTTCTGTGCACTGGATGAGTGCCTGAATGTTAGAATGACTGTTTTTTGTGATTTCTTGAAGGAGTAGCAGGACACTGAAAAAATAAGTAGGGAATACATACAATAGAGCTGTAGTTAGTAAGAGTTATGCAGGTTTATTGTTAAATGTAGAGAGCCAGGAAGGGCAAGCTGGAGGAGGAACAGATGATTATGTAAACACCAAAGCCGACTTTATATTGAATGAACAGAACAGAACCAGTGATAAATCTACTCACAGTGACTGGAGAAAGAGTGATATTTTCACTGACACTACACAACAAACCAGTAGCGTGACCGCCTCTGTTTCCACAAGGTCACACACAAAGCACTCAAGGTTCCTGTGTATAGCGACAATAAGGAGTGTATGACAGCGAATCTGAGATTGTACAGTCATGAAAATCTTTCAGTCAACAAATTATTGTCGGATTGTACACAGAAACCCTTAGTACGTCTTAACTTCAAATGAGCAAAAATGCAACTAATTTAAGCTATTAACACAATTAACATGGACCTTTTATAGATTGTAACAAGATTATATTATAATATACACAATGTTGATATTCATATATGTATATGAGGTGGACATTTGTAAATTAGAGCTTTGCTGCAAGACAAGAGAACCTACACATAAACAAGTGTTTCTTCTCTTAAAATGCATTGTTTTTATTTATACTTGTTAACTACTGGCTTTTTAAAATCTTTTTTTTTTCTGGTGGGGCTGGAGGGGGGTGTATTGTTTTAAATAACTTGGCTTTCGCTGTTTTGCACTGAAACATTTAAAGTATTCCTTGCTCAGAAGATGTTTGGTTTAATAATTGCCAACCTTAATAAGCCAAGAAAATCTAAAGAATAAAAACAGATAATAATTTAATATGCATATTGGAAAATAAAAATAATATGCAGTATGTGGTGTTTGTGTTTTTTTTCCTTCTCTTTCTTATACCTTTTTATGCATGTTTTGTCACAAAGCTGACAGCTAGACACTTGCATACAATCCTTTTAAATATGTTGGATAATGAGCCGATCAGATTATCTTAAACTGATTTTCAAACACAAAGTTCCCACCAACGGTTTGTACTCAACACCAAAATCAACATTCGAAGCATGCCAAGCTTTTCCACTTACAGAAACTATGTGAAAAACTGAAGGTACAGTATGGTAGACATTTTTCTTACTGTGAAACCACAAATTCAAAGTTCACATGCTGTTAGTGTTTTAAAAACGATTAGATTGACATCAGCGTCAAGGACAAAAAGAAACCAAGTTTGTAATAAGGAGATCTTCTGTTGTCTTGGTGTATGGTGATATTTGTTCCTACATTTATCCCTTTATTTATGACTTGATTCACTTGATGGGGTCAGAGGCTAGGGTACACACACTTTTGTTCAAGGAAATGTATTAACAGTGGGTCAGAGGTGAGGCACACACTTTTGCTCAAAGAAATGTATGCAGTAGAAGTTGTTCCCCAGCTCTATCCTCCTCGGAGGACATATTAAAGCTCCCATGTCATGCTTTTCCGGTTATTACCCGTCCCCTTGTGTGTTATGAAGGTTTTTATGCATGTAAACGGTGTGCAGAGTCAAAACCCTCAAAGTACACCCTGTAGTGAGTAAAACTCAAACACAGAAAATACCTCCCCAAAACGCCTCGTTGGAGATACGTCACTGCCCATTTGCGTCTTCCATTTAGTTCCGGGTACGCCATGATGTCATGCGGTACCCGGAACGAAATGGACCAATCCCGAAGAGCTATGGCCACACCCAGCGGCGCTGGCCGCACCCTCTGCCAGCCTAACATTTACTGTTGGAAGCTCTGGTTCAGTTCACAATCGATCCAGTCATGCCACTGCCAAGGACCTGTTTCCTGAAATGTGAGGAGAAATCTGAGCTGTTTGTCCTACCGACGGAAGAACCACGACGAAGTCAGTGGTTGAAATGTCTTTTTAACACTGTTCCTTCAGAGGTTCGAAGAACCGGCATTTCACAGACGAAAGCTTCCAAAACATTGCCCAGTTTGAAGCCGGATATGCACAGCATTTGAAACTGAAGAACGATGCTATTCCTAGTTTGTTTGGACCGTTTGGAGCAGGGGAAGATTCGGGTACACAACCTGTAAGTTTGCATTGTTATTTGTGTATTTATCAAACAAGACTGTTTAAATGTGTAAACTGTGTTGGACTGCTAAGCCATTGACACAGTGCTAACTGTGCTAACTAAGTTGCTAGCGTTCCATATATCAACTCTAATATCAGCAGATGGCCTTGCATACATGTATCTCATAGCAGGAGAATGTCTGCATTCACACACAAAATACCTATTGACAGTATACTCCGGGTGATTTGCCGTGCGGTCAGTCGCGAAACGTAATTACATTATAGCTGGCGTAGCGTGTATGCTACCGATCTAACCGACGGAGCTAGACCTGGGTTTGGTCGGAAAAACATTTTTGTTATGCTACGTTGCTAGCGTTTAAATATATCAACTACAATGTCAGCAGATGGCCTTACATGTTTGTCATGGCAGGAGAATGTCTGCAGTCACACACACGGAATACTCATACAGTATACTCCGGGTGATTTACCGTACATTGTGACAGTACATGTACATACTGCATGTATAGCTAACGAGGCTAGCTGTATGCTAGCGCAAAACAATGTATTCATGCAAGTTACAATGTATGACCGAACGTAGCAGAATACCCGTATAAGATTGCAATTATAAACACGTTATTGCTAGCCTAATATGAACCACTAGCTTTTGTTCATAGTAGTTTTATTACAGTACATTATAGTTGCCGATCCTCCGAGCTAGCGTTCATATCGTGTTAGCTACCAAAGTAAACAATAAAGCTAGGTTAGCATATTAGCTGGCAAGCTGTTCATTAGATAGATCCACACTCCTACCACAACTACTACTAACGAATCTAAAACAACTAAGTTTCTCTAATATTTTGTGATTTGCATTTGATTTCGTCCAGCCAGATCCTGGCGGACAATACATGACGGGGACAGGACTACTACTACTGAGGCCTCGTCCTAAAAGGCACCGGCTGCGCCCAGGCAAGATGCGGGGAGGAATGGATGATATACCGTGTGTATATATGTATATTTATGTTCATTTTGTACATTTCTAAAAATAAAGTTTAATGGAAATACTTAGTAGGCCTATCCTTTCTTCCCTGAATTATTTGCTCCTATAACATATCATTCATATATAGCAAACCATGATTTGATTTCTCATCAAACAGTAGTAGTTTATTACAGGTAAAAATAACTTACTCTTTGTTATGACCGGCTCGTAGGCCACAACGGAAAGACAAGGAGACATACACGAGTTTACAAAACCACGGCACATTTATTGTAGTAAATGCAGAGATAGGTGGTCGAGGGGAGAGAATCGCCGAGCCGCTTTGGAGAGAGACGGGCCGGGCTGGGCTTAATAGCACCTCGGCTACGGAGGTGTCCGTGATCGCGCTGATTAGCCTCTTCAGCTCCACCCCACCGTAAGACCTGCAACACACCTGCACAAAGGCCCTGGGGCCGTCACACTCTTCTATAACAACAGTTGTAGGTACAGTTCGGTTAGTTAGCGTATAAAATATACGGCTGTACCGACGCCATTATAAGACTGATGTTCCCCAAAAAAAGCGGGCGGAGCCTCTCTGGTGGTTGACTAATCAGAACAGAGTGGCCGAGCTGACCAATCGGAGCACACTAGGCTCACAGGGAGGAGGGGGCAAGAGCTCCAACGAGTCGTTTAGTGGAGAGAGTGAATACTGCTGAATACACATACTTGACAGAGATGCTGTATGCGAAACCAATGTGAGTTTGGAAAATTGCACAGTATAAATCTATTTTAGTATACCTCAACAATGTAATTATGATCAGTGGAAATGGCCATGACATGGGCCCTTTAAGGTGACATTTCAGAAGATTTTATTACCTCAATGTGTGTTACCCTGGACCTGGGTCAATCAGTTGGAATTACCCATCTACAGCTAAAAGCCTACTGATATGCTCAATTAACCCTTGATTGTACTGACAAGACCGTTTTCTCGACTGTAAGCTAAATGGACCATACTATTCAAACTGCATTTGAAACATCCATGTTACTTTGTTATTTCGCCATTCAACTAAGACATATGCTTAACCTTCATAATGTATATAACAAGAACATAGGATTCAACAAAGATAGGAATGAACATCTCTAAAAATCTGAATTAGTTCCTTCATTATTGTGAATTATAATGAATTATCTTTGATGAAGATGTGTAATCTGTTAAATTTAGTGTAGGCTACTGCACTGCTGACAAAAGGCGGACAAAGTTATAGAGTGGCGAAGTCACGCCCATCTACTTCCGCCCCATGGGACCTTATTTCGGAAAAATAATGTATTGAAGTCAATGGAGAGAGAAAACTTATCTTTCGATCCCGTTTGAATTGTGCCATGAATTACACATATGATGTTTGTCAATCTTAAAAAATAATTTCCATGTCAAAAAAGTCACAGTTTGTCGTAAAACTGTTGAAATATAAGACTATGAAAAATACGTAACTAGAAAGACTACAAATCCCAGAGTCGCGTAAGTGATGTCACAATTGTTTTCCTCCACCATTCAGATAGCTAAGATCAGCGCAATATAGATATAATCTATCTATATGGCGCTGGCTAAGATAAGATAACTTTAACAAGATGCCTGTGTGCTTAGTACCAGGTTGTTATTATACCAGCAATGGGTCTTGCTCGTTCTTTTGCTTCCCGTTAGATGAAAGGACCAGGAGTTGCTTGATCAAGTTAGCTACCTAGCTAGTAGCTAGCACGTTAGTTAGCATTACAGCCTTGTCATTTTTATTAGCCTTAACATGAAGTAACATTAAGTAACCCAAAATGTTAAACAGTAGTAGTCATATTTCGTGAACCCTTTGAATAGTACTGTCACCGGTGTGATCATTCTATAATACACCATTTAAGCCCGGGGGAGAAATGCTAACGCTAACGTTAGCATCGGCGATCTTCTCTATTTCATGCTATCTGCACAAATGGTTGACATTAAACATTAAAACGACCAGGCAGTTCAGAGAGAATCAAAGGAAGGCAGGCAGGCAGCTTTGCATGACATTCTTCAGGACGTGTTTCATTGTGGTGATAGTGAGGGTAGTCAATCGTTTTGTTGACAAGACAGTAGTGACGGCCATCTTGGTGACGTGTGTTGTTGACCAGAGATGTAGTTCATTGAGCGTTTCACACAAACAAATGTGTTACTTCACAGTTTTACGACACATTTTTTTTTTTTTAACTTGCAAAATTATCTTTTAAATTGACAAACATCATATGTGTAATTCGTGGCACAATTCAAACGGGATCGAAAGATAATCTTTCTCTCTCCATTGACTTCAATACATAATTTTTCCGAAATAAGGTCCCATGGAGGTCCACCGGAAGGGGAGGGACTTCGCCACTCTATTACATATTCATGGGTACCACGTGACGTCACTGTATTCTAGCGCCGCCATTTTGGTGTCCGGTCACAGCAAGTCATTACAACAACAGAGAACACGGAGGAAGCAACAGAGAAAGACAAATCGTGAATAATAAAGTTTGTGGATACGCCTGGGATTTGTTGTGCTGTGGGCTGTGACAATAGTCGCCAGAGGAACCCCGGACTACAGTTTGTATCGATCCCCAAAGACTTAGACCGTCGTAATAAATGGCTGGCTGCCATCAGAAGGGACCACTGGCAGCCGACATCTAACTCCAGATTGTGCAGTCAACACTTTGTTTCCGGTAAGCTCTTCACTTATTGTTATCTTTTTGTCAGAAATACGTTTTCAAAATACTTCAACATAGATAATTCAGTTGTTGAATAATAATGACCGTTAGCAGTGTAATGGTAACATAGCACGAGT